CTTGTTGCGAACGCTACGGAAAACTTGGGATAATCTTCGTCCCCTCATGTCGATCATATCCCTTCCACGACGCCCCTATTAATTAAGCTTCAGCACACTTCTTGCACAGATGTATCATAGCCTTGATGAACAGATTCGGAGACGTCAGGCAGACAATGCTCATGATATAGCATTCAGTGGATTGAGGAGTAAGCATGAAATGTGACGGTACTCTACACGAGTGTGATACAGAATGGCAGAGAGTGAGTGCGTGAAAGCAATCAGAATGGTCTTCAAGAACAAGTCACACGTGAAAATGTATATAAAGAACTCCATTGTAACACTAGTCCGATGAAAGCTGGGAGTCGGACGGCCCAGGTGAACCGACTGACGACCCCACATCGTCCGAACCAGTATCGTCGATGATGCGCATGCGCATGGAACCGATATAGGCGTAGGCTGCCGCATCACCACCCTGCGCTTTATGCGCGTCCTCTACAAGTGCGTCGGTGACTATGTGCGCGACGCGAGGAGAAGTAACTGACTGCCTGTGAAGTTGCACTTCTTATTCTTAAGGAAGGTGCATGTAGGTCCGCGTGGACAAACATGTCCCATGTAACATCCGTCGCCCTGCGGGCAGGGTTTATCTGGAAGCTCGAACAATGAGCGTATTGTTATTGCGCGAAAGATCGTAAGACGCTGACTCTTCGCCACATAAGAGCACGGGGTCTTCTTCGCATGGATCTGAAGTGCCGCTTTCAACTGTGGCGTTGTCTGATAGTCATGAGCGAAACGACAACGGCTGCCGTTCTTGCATTTCGTAAGGTAGTACCAAGTACAAGGGGCCGGCTTATCTGTCCAAACGTTAGAAATTGCGCGACACAGTGTCGCTTTGACGTACAGTTCTTCAGAGGCTGGGGGGACAAATCAATCCCAGATTCGGGCATCATGCGACCATGATTGCACTCACGATGGCAGGGTCAAACTGACGCACACCAATGTCGTGTTGGGCGGGCAGCACCTGAGGGGTGGAGAACACTTGCCCCAGGGGGGTCCGCGGTTGGCTGTCTGGAAAGTATTTCTTCATAGGACCGTCGCGCAATTGTTTCGTGGGTGATGATGACCTAGTACGATTGTGACCGGCACTACCGGTCATCTTCGTCGTCATGAAAAGACCATGTATCTCGACTTGTGGGAGATCGAAGCTCCTGAGCTCTTGTGCGAGCATCTTGTAGCCTTTCAGATACGGTCATTGTTAACCATACACCAACCATATATGGGTCCCACCTTTGAGAAGGATAAGTTTCTCAAGGTAACCTTCGTTGGCAAGGTGGTTGATCGTCTGCCGGCGAGTCAGGTAAGACACATGCAACGATAGAATGGGCCAGTACAGTGGAGTAGCCATTATCGTGCGAACCTCCGAGGAAGATTCGATATGTCTATTGCTCGATCAGTGATGGACCATCTATGAAGGCACAATGAGCACTTACCTGCGGGAACTTTGTAAAGACGCGCAGGTGTTCTAGAGAGAGAAATGGGCATCGATAGGTGGTGAAGGGTGCGCGACATACCCTTTATCTTGGCGTCGGCAGCCTCTTTGCCATATCCCACTATGGAACAATGTGAGGGTTCGAGGGCAGTGCATGGTACAAAAGACGCTCACCATCGACGATAGAGAACATGGGCGACGCTTGGTTGAAGCCATGATAGAACTCCTCGAATTGCTCGTACGAGCAGACATTGTTGTTGACGAGAGTGTCCGTAAGACCCTTCTTGTTGCAATAGATGCTGAGCCACACTTGGCAGCGAGGCGGTAAATTATCGTCGAGGCCGGCGATGTAGTTCATAAGGCCCTGATTCAGGAGTGACGCAGCTTGGCGGCCTCCGTTGCGACCGGCCATTAGGAGGTCTTGGGCGAATATCGTGCCGTCGCCATCTATGAGGCAGACGAGCAATGGATTATTGTCCTAATCTGGCATCAGGTGTCTGTGGCGCATACACACACGGTCCGCACGCACCTTTATCGCGTCCATATTCCTCTCCAGACGCGAGACTATCCTCTTGGTAACTTCGTGGTCATCCTCGGATTTCTTGTGAGCGTTCTTCCAGACCGCATTCTCCCGCCGAAGCTCTTTCACTTCGGCCTCAAGCGCTACGGCGCGAGTTATAGCCGAATGAAATATCTCTGAAATGACATTGAGCAGTCATGCCATCTGTACGAACTTAAGTTACACACCGGACTGCTCGCGGAAGAGCGCCTCCCTATGTCGAGAAGTCTGAGATCTACGTCCCTCGGGACACTGACAACCGGCTCACCATCGCCCCAGAGGACTAGAGTTCGCCGTTTCTTTTTCTTCATTCATAACACCTCGCCACAGGTGAGTTGTATGCCAGAATGCTAGAGAGCGTGTGTTTCAGGTAGAGATCCGATGTAGAGTAGATCGTGGTCTGGGGCAAGTGCCGATGGTGGCCTCCTGGCGCGAGACAAATGCGCCGCCAACATGCCACACATGCTGACTCGTGGACTCGGGCAAGACGGAGGACTGTCATCGCTGCGAAGAGGAAGACGCGGTGTCGCACGCCACTTGCTCGGACGTTCGATTGCCCATTACCGTACTGGGAATCATGGCGCGGCTAGCTGCGAAAGAAGCGCCCATACACAAGGTCCCAACAACCCGTAATGATATACATTACGAGAACAAATAGTCCATGAGTGCACAGCGTGCAAAACGTATATACATATGAGATCCGATGGAGAACGATAACCCTCTTCCAACCCTGTGCTTGGATGTATGTGTACAGACGAAACGTCTACTTGATGCGCTTGAGCTGTGATATAATAGTCGTCAGCACATGTCGGAATGATGACTGGAGAGAGAAAACCACATACGCGCTCGGTGGTGCTGAAGAGGCGCTGGTCAAGGCCACCGGCCTTGTCACCGAGGCGGTCGATACGGGAGTTCTGCTGATCGAGTTCCTGGCCCATAGCCATGCCCAGGTTCTTCAGACGCTTAGCGACATCGCCGATCTCGTTAAGGTTATCATCGAGCTCGTCTTCGAGTTCGTCGTCCGAGGCAGTCTCCTCAAACTGGTAGCGCTTACGCTGGTCCTTGCGCATCTTCAACTGTGTCTCGGTCAAGCCACGACGTCCACCGATGCCTTCCTCGTCATCAAAGCCGCCGGCACGGCCAATACGGTTCTGCGATTCGCGGACCTCGACCATCGTGCGCTCGCGTTGGTCGCGATCTTCCTCGTAACGACGCTGGATCTCTGCCTCCTTGGCCGCGCGCTTGGCGTCCTTGTTGAAAGTGATGACCGGACGGAAGATGGAACGGTTAAGCTGCTTCAGCTCATCCGTCTTGTCGTCCGCGCGCTGCGAATGGGTCTTGGCGACATCGAGGTGGCGCTCGGTGTTGGCGAGCTTCTCTGTGCAAGAGTGAATAATGAGATTGTGCGTTGGGAGCAAACACACGAACCAGACTGGTCGCCGAGACGACCGAGCGTGCCACGAGCCGTCTCTTCGGCCTCCCGGGCCATGCGGAGAGCGTTCCTGGTCGAGTTGACGGACTCCTGCTTGACCCAGCGAGTCTGCTTCTTGATGCCCTCCACGTCCTCGTCGTTCTCCTCCCCAGGCGGCGGCTCGCGCCCGAGGCTCGGTCCCTCGTTGAACCGGTTGGGTTGCGCCTTCTGCGGATTATAGCCAGCGAAGAGCTCGCTGCGGTCCTGGTTCGCACGGGCGTCGTTCGCAGGCGCCGCCGAGGTCACCGGCGCCCTCTGGTACGAGCTCTGTTCATAGCCAGAGTTGGACTGGTAGCTCGGCCCATCCCGGCTGGGGACGTAGGAGGAGGCCGCAGAACGAATGCTGGGCGTCGACTTGTAGCTGGGGGCCGCAGAACGGAAACTGGGAGCCGGCTCCTCGTTTACCGGGGGTATCGCGTTACGTTCACTGCGCTTGCTAAACCAAGACATGCCAAAGAAGAAGGAAAGAAAAGGATGTGAGGTGAAGAGGTGGTGGTCGTACGAGAGAAAGAAGCGCGTGGCTGTGAGCGAGGCTGTCGCGCTTGGAAGCACGCGCGCTGATGCGGTCGCAACGGTCCGATAAAGAGAGTAATACAGAAACTACAAAAGACAAGAAAAAGAAGATGGTCTGCTAAGTACGTGCTACGCCTTCTTGCCACCCTTCTTGCTGTCTTGGCTCTTCTTGCCAACCACAGTGACGCCTTTGCCATGTTTGACCACGGACTTCAGGGCAGCCTCCTTCTCCGCCTTGACGCCCTTCTTCCCGTTCAACTTCGCCCATTTGTCTACACCGGTTTCCAGCGCATCACGGGCTTTTCTCCGGGCCTTCTTATGCTTGTTGTGCATTGTGCGCTTCTCCTCGGGCGTGAGTTCGCTCTTAGCTCGCAAAGCTGACGCGGATGCGGGCTGATAGACTTCCTCAGGCGCGAGCATAGTTGCGGCAGATTTGGCTGTAGGCAGCGCGGATTCCATGCTGGCGGATGCAACGTTGGTGACGGTGGTGATGGTAGCTTTGGGCTGTAAAAGTGTGAGCAGTGGGAAAGATAACTGTGGTACGACAGACGTACAGCTTTGGGGGTGAAATGTGCGTTGGAAAGAGCGTCGAGTTTGTAGGAAATACCTTCCCAGATCTTCTCGAGTTCCTCATGCTCCTTCTTGAGCTTTCCATCGCGATCGTCCGTAGAAGTGCCAGTCTGTGCGGAGGTGTACTCATCCTCGTAGATCTCCGCAAGCGACTGCTTTGACTTGGTGTCCTGCAATTCGAAGAAACGCGAAGGGAGGAATGGCTTCTCATCAACTGCGCGGCGCCGGACAACGTCGTCGAACCGGTTCTCGAGGATGCGAGCTTTGATTCTATCCTCGAGACGTTGTACAACTTCCTCGGTGACAACCGGGACGGCCTTCATCACGCGCTCAAACTCGAGGTCCTCCTCGAGGAGAGAGTTGCTAGGTCGGGAGCGAGAAGTCGCCTCGCCCATCAACGTCCAGTCCTTCTTGCTAATGTTCTCCTGCTCGAGAGCAGTAATCTGTTCTTGCAATGCTGCTTGACGTTTCTGATAGGTTGTGAGGTCTATGGCGGGATTAGTGACGCCGTCAGGATCACTACTACGGATCCATACCGTTGTCCTCCTCTTCATCGTCGTCTGCAAACAGATCGTTTTGCAGACGGTCCATCATATTCCGCCCTTCAAACTCTCCTTCCTCGTCCTCTGCATCGTCCGTGTCATCCTCCTCTGAGTCTGCTTCCACGTTACCAAACCCGGAGAACTCCTCCTCTTCGACCCCTTCGCTACCTTCGCCCTCCTCGTCCTCATCATCGTCGAGCCCGCCTTCATAGTCGCCGTCCTCGTCTTCATCGCCGTCGAAGCTGAAGTCAAACTCCTCGTCCTCTTCGTCTTCGTCCGGTGCATCCATTGTAGACAACGGCAAGTTCTTCCCGCGGGCTTTGATGCTTTTGACGCGCACCTCTTCATGGAAGCGCACTTTGGATTGTCGACGTGGTGGTGAGGGACCATTAGCCCTTTTCGGTTTTGCAGGTGTTCTTGCAGGGGGTGCAAAGAAATCCGCATATGTTGCCTCTATTACAGAGCGCATCTTAGTAAATACGTGATGCTAATGGGGCTGTGGCACTTACCACCGCCCGCACCCTCCTCCTCATCCAACGCCATTGGACCGTCAACGTTTGCGAACATATCGACATCCTCTTCCTCATCTTCATCGTCCGAGTCTCGACTGAGACGGCCGCGTGAGGATGACCTGGCCTCGGCGGCTTCCGTCTCAGCGTTGAAGGATGCGAGGTCGAAGAAGCCATCATCGAGCTCAGGATGAGCACCTGCTCTAGGTCGGGGACCCTTGAGTGTCAGGCGTGGTATCTTGGATGGTCGTGATGGCTCGAGTTCCTCGTCTTCGTCGTCCGAAGGATCGCGTAAGGGCGTTATACTCTCGCCAAGGTCGCCTCCCTCCCCATCCTCACTCTCTTCCTCACTCTCCTCTTCGCTCTCGTCGTCCTCGTCAGATTCATCGTCCAGAGACATAAGCTCCGCCTCTTCCAACATCGCATCCTCCCCATCTGCAGATAGTTTGCGCTTCTTGGGAAGCTCGTCGGGCTCAGACTCGAGCTCAACGTCCTCGCCTGCGCCTTGCAGAGCGAGCAGCAGTGTTCGACAGACGTTGGAAGAGCGGAGTTCGAGCTGAGCCCAGAGCTGGTCGTCGTCCATGCCGTCGGTGAAGAGGGAAGGAATGGAAGTGCGCTGGAGCGTCGGGCGCTCGCGAGGAGGCGAAGGCTCGCGTTTGCGCTTGCCGCTTGCGCGTGTTTGCGAGCGGGTCTGTGGGGCCTCTGCGGGGCTGAAGGACGAGAGAAGATCGCCGATGCATGGCCCAGACTTCTCTTCCGAGGCTACACCTGTACAAAATGTCAATACACCTGAGCCACAGCTTGTAACTTTGCCGCGCACCGAGGTCGAAAAGATATTTGGCGGCAGCAAGCGCGGTGTCGGCCAACGTTTTGTCATTGAAGGCAAGAGATTCCGGCTTCTCATCTACGAGTATGGCCAGGGAGCGCAGTTGCTCGGGCAGCTCGACGTCGGGAGTCTCAGCCATGGAAGAAGAAACTCAGAAGCGCGCGCCCGAGTGCCGCAAAAGAAATCAATCGAGGACCGTGAGAGCCGACGCGACGCGCTTCGGAACACGTTCAGTCGCGTCTGGCCTCCTCTTCGCTCGGACCTCCATCTACGCGCACTCACACAGCTATGATGTACGCGAGTCCAGACATAGCACAAAGCTACACCCATCTATTGTGACTCTCAATTGGATCGGCTAGAGAAAAATGGAACCCACCAACAGACTGATGGCCTCGACCGTCGAGAACAAGGACCCGTGCGCTGAATTGGGTACAAGACCCAAAGCTATTGTTCTCGCTTTACCCCCGTTGCTACCCTAGCAACAAACAAGGTTACATGGCCTGCATCGCCACCCGACGTTCTATGAGAGCGGACAACAGGCGGAAGGTATAAGTACACCGCTCGACACGATCTGCATTCCCCAGCCCATCTGGTCTGTGGCTTGCTCCTTCACGCCCCGTCTCTTCTAGCTGCAGCGCAGCTCCTAACGTCTATCTCTCTCTCTCTTTACGCTCGCTCGTCACGCATTCTTTTATACTCTTCACTAGACATCCCGTGTAGCCTTGAACATCATCCATCATGATCGCCGGTCTCTCCAAAGTCATCACACTGTACCTGGCTCCATTACTAGCCCTCACGTCCCTCATCCTCACGTTCCTCGCATACTTTTCCCCTGTTGCGATACTTCAGGGGAAGGTTGCTTTGCTCACTGTATCGCCGTCCACATCATTGACGAACCCCGGTTCAACCTCTGCAATCGACGGTCCATCGGTGTTCCTCGGTGCTCTCGGTAGGCCCACCCAGTCTTCTCCCTGACCCGCTTTACTGAATCATCACCAGGGTCATGCTCGCGCAGCAACAATGACGCAACTATCACTTGCGAACCAGCGACGCTATCGCCTGAATATGGTTTGTGATACGCCCACTCCTCAGTGACTATACTGACGATCCCCGTATAGACCTCTCCGTTCTGCCCAGTAATGCGCCCAACCTTCTATCTGCGCCTACGGCCACTACGCCCGCATTCATTGCCGTGTCGTTGGGCTTCGGGGTCGTCTTCTTCATGCTCTTCACCCTCATTTCGCTGCGCCACAAGATGCCGGGTAAAGTTGCTGGGGTCATGGACAAGCCTAGCATTCAACGTTTCGCGGCTTGGGTTGGCTTGCTTGGCTTCATGATGGGTGAGCTCTGTGTATCTGTGTCCTCTTACTCTGATCTCATGCTGTGTAGGCCTGACCAGCTTCCTCGTTATCCGTATGTGGTTCGGAAAGGCGGTGGAGGACTTCAACACGTCTATCTCCGAAGCCGGAAACGGCGGGTCACAACTTGTTGCGGCGACAAGCAATGGGTTCATCAGTGAGCTCCCGTCCGTCATCATCGCTTGGGTCGATGGCTAAAGTTCATCGTAGTGGTCTACGTGGCCTACGCGTTCTATGGTGTCCCATTAGTATGCTCGCTATCCCGCCTCCACGTCACTGCTGTCGCCGCCAAGGGAGCTGCTTGAGGTGCCGAGTGCTCAGATGTCACTTTTGTACCATATGGACCTGATTCTCGCTGCAACGGACATACACGCTGGTATCGGACAGCACACTTACTGTAAACCTGCTAATAGACATATGAAGCCTGCTGCCACCGGCTTTGCCCTCGTTCTTGTCTGATCCTCGTGGGCTGCGCAGCGCGATAGGCCCGTTAAAGACCGTCCGTGTGAGTGTCGGATTTGTTCTTGTCACGCGGCGCCACACACCACGCTCTGCCAACCGAGCTCATCCGAACTTCAAGCGCGCGCCGCGCGCATTCTCCGGAGGCTTTCACGAAGACCGGTCGCTGTGAGTGCCCTTGACCTATCTTTGCCTAAGCTTTCCTTGCCTGATACGCCGAGGCAGTCATGTACAGGTTTGCATCCACGCTCGGGGGTACGATACGCTTCATGCTACCTTATACGTGAGCTCGCCCGATGTTGCTCCTACCCTCGCGCGACATGTCCGGCAGTATAAGACACAGAGACCGTTTCGTCGACATGCGTTCCGCAGCAGCGCACACATCGCTAAGATGCTGGTCGATGCCACGATGCGGTTCTTGCTTATTACCGTCATGTCGCTTCAGGTCCCCTTCAGCATCGCGGCCAGTCTGGCACCGTCCGTCGTTGTGGACATCGATCTCCTCGGCCAACGACGCCTCAGCACGATTGTAGGTGCCGCGACCTCGGCCACTTCTGTGGGAAGCTGGTCCGTCCGTTCACTACTACTCATCTCGCCCTGTCGAAGCTCAACGGTTTCTACCATAGGCTCGATAGCCTGGGTTCTGATGGCAGATGGCCAGACGTTGACTACACGACAGGGTGCGATGCACAGGCAGCATCATGGCCGGCTCAGAAGCACTGGCAACGACTCGTCACACTCGCCGCCGCATGGCATGGTGGTCTCAAGAATGCTGCGCAGTGGGCGAAGGATACCAGTTTACAGCAGGGAATCGCTCTTGCGATGGACAGTTGGTTCGCCGATGACTTCACGAACCCGGCCTGCCTCGACTTCGGCGGAGACAGTGAATGCCCGTGCGGCACGCCTGGTCTGTGGAACACAAACTGGTATGCATCTTCTTCCCATCGCGCTTCTGCCATTGTTGACGAATGATCCAGGTTCTCAAACATCCTCGGCATTCCCGGTTACGTCGGAGAGGTATGCTCCTCCCTCAGGTGGACCGTCACCCAGCTGACCATAGATATGAAGGTCTGCCTTCTCATGAACAATACGCTCACTTCTACCGAGCTCGGGAATTGCACCAAGTTCGGCTCTCGAGCCTACAACACCTTTTTGACTGGCATCAATGGCGTGAGCTCGATCACCGGTAGCAACGGTGAGAGAAGCTTCTGAGAATTCTTCGAGTGATTCTCGCTGATGCCACATCTCAGCATTGGACCTGGCGAGTACGTGTATGTCCACGCGTTCCCGAGCTAGATCTCACACCGTATATTCAGGCATTGGTGTCGACACCGGCATCCTCACTGAGAACGCAACTCTGATCACGGACGCCTTCACACGAGTTCACAATGAAGTTGTCGTTCAGAACGGTGTTAAAGCGGATGGTATCCGGGCAGATGGTAGCTTCGGGCAGCATACTGGCATTGTAAGTAGCACATCTATGTGAAGATATGCGTCACTAATACTACATCTCCCAGATCTATAATGGAAAGTCAGTATTGATCCCCTAAGTTCCATGGTGGTTTAGTCTCACGGCCTCTGTAGCTACGGCAAAGACTACGCCAACGACGTCTTTGACTTCGAGATCGAAGCTGCTGGTACCCAGTTCCAGGCCACCGACGCGTCTCGCGCGGCCTTCGAGACGCTGTGGAACGGCAACGTCTGGATGATCTTCCGCAACACAGTGACCAACGTGCTACACTGGGATTTTGTGCGTGTTCTCTGCTCTCATCTTCGATCCGCGCAGTGCATTGACTGATCTAATAGAGCGTCATCGGACGCATCATCGCTTTACCCGTAGCCGACAACCAAGCGACTGAAAACCTTAAGATCAACCTCACCCAGCTTCAAAGTCTCGGAAATAGCTGGGGCTCAGCACCACTTCTGAAAGCGTTCCAGGAATTGAACGCTGCCAGCGACGATGCTAACTCTGGAAATATCCAAGGCAATCGCATCTTCTACGCGAATGACTACGCGGTGGGTCTGGTCCTTTGTATCGTTCTGACTACCATCTGATCTGCATACAGGTCCAGCGCGGCACGGGATACACTTCCCATTTGCGTATGTACTCCAAGCGCACGGTGAACAGTGAATGCACGAACTCTCAGAATGTAGGTCACGTCTGATAAGTACAACTTACTCACTGTGGTACTCATCGACAACCTAGCCATTTGGCTTCCATTTGGCGGATGGTGCTCTGTATACGCGCATGACAGGAGACGAATACGAAGTTCGTTCAGTATCTAGACTCGTTACGCGCAGATGCTGACGTGCAGTAGGATATTCCCGCCGCATGGGACTGGAACCTCATTCCAGGTCTGTTCCCGATAACTTGCGTGATACCCCATTCGCCGCATGCTGAAACAAGATTAAGGTACCACAGTCGATTATGGTGCAACTACTCTCGACTGCTCCGACGTGAAGCATAGTGGAACCCAGGCTCTTGTTGGTGGCGCCTCGGATGGAAACATCGGTGTCGTGGCCATGCGATACGAAACCCCTTCAACGAAGCAGTTGAATTGGAGAAAGACGTGGTTCTTCTTGGTGAGTGCTGTCTGCCAGATGGCATTATGTGGTATTGAGATAGCCCATAGCCCAATGACGTACAACATGTCATGGTCGCCCGCATCACCTCAAACACGGATGCCCCAGTGTTCTCCGTGCTCGACCAGCGTAAGCTGAGCGGCGATATAACGGTCGATGGAAAGACCGTCACGAACGGCAACTTCTCTGGTGTCAGCACTCTCTTCCACGGCGGCGTAGGATACGCATTCAACTCCTCGAACACCGCTGTATCTTTATCCGTGCAGTCGGGGGAGCGCACAGGCTCATGGGCTGCCATTTCGACCTCGACGCAGCCGGACGAGACGGTGGACCTATTCTCGGCATGGCTTTCACACAGCGATCTCTCTGCGCCCATAGACTATACCGTATACCCAGCTACAACTGCTTCCAGCTTTGCGACGAAAGCTAAGAATCCCCCGACAATTATCCGAAACGACGGTTCAATTAGTACGTTTGCCAACAATTGTCCAAGTGATTCTTTGCCAATGACACATCATAGGTGCTCTCGTAGACGAACAAAACAACGTGGCAATGTTTGTCTTCTGGGACGCAGCTGGGGGCTCCACTACAATCCCATCCTTTAACGGCGCAACTACGATCAAGGTGACCTCTAACGGGAACGTCGCGTTAATCGTCAACCTCGACAACTTCAACTTGACTGTAGCGGACCCGACGCAGTCGTTAACTAGTGCAACACTCACGTTTGCACTTGGGTCTGGCACGGCGCCCGCGGGATGGTCTTCGAGTAGTAAGAGTGCCTCGAAGACTGTGACTCTCCCTTCTGGTGGTATTATTGGTGGTAGTGTGTCCTCTACGTTGTTCTGATCATGACGACATTCATCTGCCTTTGAGATCACGATTTGTAGGCTCTGATTTGTACGAGTAGCTGTGTATACCCTGTACTTGTATGCTATATTTGTTCCGCGTGGATGCTCACGGCGCGCACTCGTCGCGTTAGCGCAACTTACGGGTAAGCCACATGACCGCGAATCGCGTCACAACTAAACGGGTCTCGCCCCGGTCCTGGCTTGCCTCAAACCGCCACGACGGCCTGCCGTTCAGAGGTATTGATAGACTCTACAACGAGCGATATCCAAGGCTACAGATAATACACCCTATACCCACCGGATACCTCATACTAGTAGGCCAGGCATAACCTCCGGATACGCCCCATAATACCGCCCAGTCTCTCCCCTTGTTCAATCACAGTCTATCATAATCGATACCCCTCGTGTACTCAGCCAGGCGCTTTCATCTAGGGTGACGGATGTCACCCGTTCCCCTTCACGTCGCGGCTCAAAAGCATGCTCAACTAAGACGTATATCCGGACGAACTACGATCACAGTCGCCATATGCGGAATTCTCGTCTTTCTCTTGTTCTCATGGTCATTGGCACTCCAACTGCCTTTGAGCCTACCATCCGTCTCGTCACTATTTCCATCGGCCTCAACCTGGCTGATAAACTTTGACTCTGTGTCCGTCATTTGCGCCTGTTGTTGCAGTTGAACTCCCTGCTGACCGATTGAATGTCGACTTTATATATAGGGCTTCATACTCCTCTCTATACGAGGATTTAGATCATGATCTCGCCTCGGAGCTCACCACAATGCTCAACCGTCGAGTGGCTACAATAGCTGAGAGCATTGGCACCATAACACGGCAAGACATAGTGCAGTGGTAAAGGAATACGACCATCCGGGTATCCTGAAGCTGACACGGTCGTAGGCAGAATACTACGGACACGGAAGGACGCTGGCCAGCTGACGAGATTGACTACGCGGCGGGTTGTTCAGCTCGGCGGGCGAATTGGCCCGCTCAAGCGCACTGGCATAGGATCCGTATGTGTGGCACCTTGCCCACTCTTGCCACACGCGGTAAATCTCATGTCTTGTCAGGAAACATGTCAGCTCTGTGGCACCTTGATCCCCTCTACAACGAAACTGGGACGCCATTGACTTCGACAATCTTACCGGCTATGGAGTTCTGGTTCGACCGGGATTACACAAACGATCATTGTCTGGACCAGGGAGGAAGACCGGAGTGTGCATGCGATACTCCTGGCTTATGGAACACAAACTGGTACTCGAATGTGCTGCTACGCATGCTCTGTGTTATGCACCGAGAGGCTGACACTATCGAAGGTTATTCTCATACCACGTTTAGTTGTGGAAACTTGTCTGCTTATGCATCCCGTCCTCGAGACCGGGCATATGGATGCTTGTCAACGCTTTGCAAGACGGTCATACGACAGATTCTATGCAGTTCCACGACCAGGATATATTTCGGGCGCTAATACACCCGACATAGCGAAGGTCTGGCACGTGTCTGTACTCTTGAGCGATTAGTTATTCAACAACGATTGCCTCCCCTTCAGATCGGTATAGACTTGTCGCTCCTTTCAGCAAACGTGACCCTCATGGATGAAGCGTTTGGGCGTGTTCATGAAGAAGTGTCCTTCAACCCGGCTGTGGGGGTGGATGGCATCAAGCCGGACGGTTCCTTCTCACAGCACGCTGGTCTGCTCTACAAGTAAAACCCCGATTGATGGTGTATTGTATCCTCAGCTGATAGATTAGTAGCGGAGGTTACGGGAAGGATCTCATCAACGTCTTACTCGAACTAGAGCACGCAGCTGCTGGGACGCGCTTTACTGCAGGACCAACTTCTCGGTTCGCCTTCGAGACACTCATGGATGGTAGTCTGTGGATGATCTTCCGGAACACCGTCACAGGGAAGCTACACTGGGATCTTGTGTGTATGATTCTCAGCCTCGTACTGGTGTCGCCCTAACTACGATGACGCAGAGCGCGCTGTCGCGGTTCATCTCCTTTCCAGTAGCAGACTTGCAGTATGTGTCTCAATAGATCCTTCTAACCATCAACAGTCATTGACGATATCTCAGGGCCACAAGTGGTCTAAAGATCAACGTCACGCAGCTCTCGGTATGTGGACTAGCGGTTAAGCCCGTCTTTGTTCTCGCTAAGGCATGAGCAGGTACTGGCGGGGACTTGGAACTCACTGCCCCTCATCCGCGCCCACAATCTGCTGACGGGTAACGGGACTGGCGCTAACATCGGTGATCTGCGCGGAAACCGCTACTTCTGGCACAATGACTACATGGTAAAGTCCGCACCCCCTATGAGTTATCCGGTGACTGAACGTCCACAAGGTTCACCGCGGGCGCGGATACGTATTAACCCTGAAGATGTTCTCGTCTCGCACTCTCAACACCGAATGTACGAACTCCCAGAACGTACGTGTCAGGCAGTCTGCTATCGGAAATAGGACCCTGACTGGTTTCACAGCCTTTCGGATTCCATCTTTCCGACGGCGTATTGCTGTCCTATGCGGACGGAAACGAATACGAGGACATAGCGGCTTCGTGGGATTGGGACCTTCTTCCTCTAAGCACGACCACATACCGAGCAACACCGCTCGTTTGTGACAAGGCGCGATGGAACGGTCTTCACGCCTTCGTCGGCGGTGCATCAACCGGTTCAATCGGCGCCGCTGCGATGCGGTACACGAATCCCGCGACCCGCGAACTCAGCTGGCAGAAAGCAGTATTCTTTCTCGACGACGATACGCAGTTAGTCATGGTGGCCAATGTGTCCTCCCAAACGACCAGCCCTGTCATGACCGTCTTGGACCAACGACGGCGCACAGGTCCTGTCTTCATCGATGGCGCACCAGTCGGTTCGGAAACCGAGTACGCCGATAGACCGCTATCCGAAGCCCGTTCACTTTGGCATGCTGGGACTGGGTACCTCTTCAACGGCACTTCAGCTTCTTCGATGACGTTGGGACTGTCAAGCGGCCTTCGCACCGGAGATTGGAGTACTATCGGGATCTCAAAGCAACCGCCCACAAATGTGGACATATTTGCGGCGTGGATCGAGCATCGTATGCTCTCCGAGCCGCTGTCTTTCGCCATATTCCCAGGAACAACGCGTCTCGATTTCGAGCTCAAGAGCACCGCAAGATATCTGGAAGTTGTGCGCAATGACGCATCAATATCCGCAGTCCACGACCACGACCACGGCACCCTTTCTATCGTTTTCTGGGACGCGGACGGTGGGCGCGTCGCGACGTCGGGTGGCGTGAGCGTCGGGAGCAGTGCCAACTCAGTCGTGGTTCTTTCGCCAAAGTCCAAGCAGCTTTGGGTCTCGGATCCCTCGCAGCAGGTCGCCACACTAACAGTGGTTGTGCAGCTGGAGGCGGATGGAACTGTGCAGACGTTCCAGATCGAGCTGCCGTCTGGCAGAGATGCAGGAAAGACCGCGTCCGTGAACTGGTGACCCCCGCAGAAAACCGACTCGGTCACATCGGCTTTAGACGCATCCCGAGACGGTATTGTCGTGGGGATTCTGCTGTATATGTAGATCACACTTTCACACATTTGCGGGATACCGGCCGCAAATGAGCGCAGTTCCAATAATCGCATCGACGCTTGAGTCTGAGTCGCAATATCAGGCATGATTGCGTGTGGGGCATAGTCGCATACACCGGGCATGATGATGAGGCAGAAGAAAATACATGACGTGCGATGAAAGTGGGTAGCAAATATGCGACAATTTTACTCCTCCGAACGAAGGCGTGCAGATGCGTTGGTAACCTTGACGCCAAGAACCTTGGCGCTGGAATAACGATCAGTGGCGAACAATGGGTGTTCAATGTGCAGATACGCACCGCTCAAGGATGACCGCCCGGTTACGGCTGCTGACGTTGTGTGCGATCTCAGCAGCGTAGCTCTTGTTGTGCATCAAGAGGAGCTCGAGTTCCCTGACGTTGGAAACGAGGAACTTCTTGAGACCGTTGGGGAGGCAGTGGCGGGTCTTCTTGTTGCTACCGTAGCCGATCTGCGCGATGACACTTGAGTGCTAAGCCGATTATGTTCTGAACTGATACGCACAGAGGGCATGGGCAGCTGGCCCTTGAAGCGGCGGCGGACACGGTTGTCAATACCCTTGGGCTTCCTCCATGCCTCCTTGACACCATGGTAGCGGTCAGACTGGTGGCGCCTGTGAAACAATGTCATTATTTCGGTAGATATCCATTGCGCCAAATATACGAACTTGAAGGGCTTTGTGCGCTTCTTGACGATCTTGATGGTGGCGGCCATGGCTTGACTGCAGGATGGTGGTCAGAGGCAAATGCGAAAAACTCACCCGGCGCGCCGTCTGCGATGCCATGCTTGGAGGATCATCCGACCGTCCCTCGACCAATCCAGCCCATTCCTCTCTCAATCTGCTCCGCAATTCCTCACAGCCCATCCATATGGCATCCTGGCAGCACGACGGCGCATCCGGGAGGGCAGCAGCGAGCGAGACGGGACGTACAGTGGCGGGGTACGGGAAGAGAAATCAGGGCGCGAGCGGGAATAATGCTCGAAGCCGCGCCGCGCGCCGGCCTAATCGGGAATATTGCGATTTGATTCCACTTTCTCAGTTTCCGCACTTGACTGCGACCACGACGTTCATACTATTAGCTCGTCATATATTTTGCACAGTACTCAGTACATAACACCTAGTACCACAGCGCCGAATATGTTATGTGAAATAGCTGTACATGCGTGTCTCGATCAATGAGAGTCAGAAAATGCCTGGGCCGTATTGGGAACCGGTTCTGGTGCTCGAGTCCAGCGCGAGTCGATGAAGATTGCGGCTCTGCAGCTCGTCCTTTCCCTGCGCATCGTTTGCGCTGTCGTACGCGTACAGCCCTGCGACAGACGGTCATACATGTTTGATATGAAGGCTGTGAGGGCGCCAGGGGACCGGACTTTAGGAAGTGGGCCGGCCGCCCGAGAGAGGCGTTGATGAGATTCAGGGGCGAGTGGGGAAGGGCGTGGGAGAGTTCGAGGTGAGTGTAGAACGGGAGCCGGGCAGGTGCAGACTGTGTTCTTCTCTGCACATCCACCATCACTTTGCCGATGCTCGCCGCATCGACCAACGGCTCGAGCAGTTTCAACTTTGACGACCAGGACAGCGAGTGGCCCAGCAGACCGACAGGATTTATTCACAACCGGTCGACGAGCATCGGCTCCAGTTGGCAGGTCACGTCCATCGGCCGGGGCTTTGACTGGAACAAAGGCGAGGTCGACGTCGACGAAGACTCGGTGGAAGAGGGCGAGGAGAGCAGCTCAGACTCTGAGGACACGATGCCCTACGCCTCCCCAAAGGGCCCCTCCCTCTCCGTCCTCGGCCCCGTGCTCACCAATGCCCGGCCCAATGTCGTCACCCTCGAGCCGCTTTCGATCTCTCCCACATCCGTCCTGCCCCCGACCATGTCCCATCCACACTCCCGCGGCCCCTCCCGCCCAGGCTCTAGGCCAATCACTCCCGCCCTCCCCTTTCCCTCGATGGTCTCCCCAATCTCACAGTCGGCTGTCGGCCGCACTCCGCCTTCTCCTGTCATCCGGCCAAGGCGACGATCCTCCCAGCAGCGCGTCTCGTTGTTTGCTGGGCGCGTATCAATCACCCCGGCCGAGCCGCCCGCCGAGCCTCATGCAGTGCCGCCAGTACCACCACCAAAGTTCGTCCGTTCGGGCAGCACCGCCAGCTACTTGAGTTCCGCCTCTAGCGTCTGTGCACCCTCGGCTTCAGAGGAGTCTACCCCTACCGTGGAAACTGCCGGGCGTACCATCTCGGAGTTTGCAGTCCAGGGCGAAATCGGTCGCGGTGCTTATGGATTGGTCAAGAAGGCGCGCGAGATCTTGCCTGACGGTAATCTTGGCGTACGTCGCACTTGCCCAAGCTGCTTGGATTAACGCTAACCGACATTCCGCAGCCTCCACTAGTCATCAAACAAGTCATAAAGTCCCGTATTCTTGCAGACTGTTGGAAGAAGCACCCAAAGTTCGGCACAATTCCGATAGAGATATACGTTATGTCGTCCATCTCCAATACGTCTTACGTCCTTCCCGCACGGCGACCCTGGGATCCGTCTAGACTGTCGCCTGCTCAACATACCTCTCCCGCGAGCTCCGAGAGCTTCGTCTGGGAAGAGGGTAAGATCGTTAAAGGACATCCTAATATCTGCCCGCTGTTAGACTTCTTCGAGGACACGAACTACTACTACCTGGTCCTACCCTCCTCGGTACCGGAGGCTGCACCGAATCAACCCGTTCCTCCTTCCGACCTCTTTGACTTGGTCGAGGCTTATCCAGAAGGTCTCCCGCCACACCTGATCCGGACTTACCTGGGCCAGATGGCCGATGCTCTCAGCTTCTTGCATTCAAAGGGAATCGGTGAGCAGACACCCCGATACGCTTTCATCTCGTATTCACGAAGCCCGTAGTTCACCGCGATATCAAGGATGAAAATGTCGTCCTTGGCGCCAACGATCGCTCAATCCTCATCGATTTCGGGAGCTCCGGTCTCGTCAAGAAGGGCGGCTGGGATACCTTCAGCGGAACGTAAGTGCCACCCCACGCTGGATACTCTCACATCAGACTGAAGAACTTCTTCCATCCAGACTGGATTACGCTGGCCCTGAGATCCTTCGCGGAGAGCACTACGAAGGCAAGGCGCAGGACGTCTGGGCGTACGGCGTGGTCGCGTACGTCTTGCTTGTCGGCGAGTGCCCCTTCACGACTGCCGCCGAGGCACAAGAAGGTCTTGTCTCCCCCTTCTCCAACGCATCTATCGCCCTTGACGAACGCTGTCACGCGGATGAGACCTTCGGCGAAGAAGCTGATGGCGGCGGCGCTCTCATGGACGCTGCAGCGCTGGTACGCGCATGCCTCCAACTCGAGGTGTCCGACCGTCCAACCTTTGACCGTATCATGGAATCACGCTTCCTATCGGGCGGCGAAGGCTGGACGGGAGACGATTATTGACCTCAATCGCTCGTATCGCTCTCATCCGCGGGAGAGGCGCATGATTCTCAGCGCCAGATATGAGCTTATTTCCCCTCACCCCACCACCCTTTTCGTCATCATGCACTGTTTCTTGCAATGTTCTAAACATCATTCGGTGTCAGCTGTCACTGGCATTATCGTCACATATTATTGGCCCCCGGGCCTGGTTTCTCTGTGTCCAACCCTGCTTTCGCAATCGTAGCCCTTACAGGAAAAAGAACCTCTTCATGTACAAAAGTGTAGCCTACAGTCAATCAATCAAGGATAGATCCTTCGTATTCAACAAACGTGTTCGAGTTCCTTCCCGTTTACAACCCGCGGGCCCATATCGCGTCCTACAGTGCGCTCGAAAACTTCGAGCATGAAGCTGAAGAGGTTGCGCGTCAGTGCTGCGTCCCATCTGCCCTTTGAACTCTCGTCGCGGATGAAGGCGTGCTGCGCCTGCACTTCCAGGAACTGTTCGCCCCGTGTTTAGTAAGCTTTTCACGGGGGGAAGGAAGGCAGCGGACTGACCGAACAGGTAACATTGGCATCTTCCAATTCCTTGCGTATAAGGTCACGGCCCGCACGCGGCACATGGGTGTCTTGCTTGCCGAAGATCATCTTGCGTGGACATGTCGGTCAGCCGCTCTCGCACAACAGTATCTGGCACACGTACGACCATCTCCGCCTTATTCGTGAGCGCGCCTGCGCGCACACGGACCAGCGAGTCGTCGCTCTTTCCTTTGCCGAGAGTCGCACTGTGAATGTCCGTAGCGAAGAAGCAAACGGCTGAAAGGACGCGAGGGTCAAATGCAGCCTAATGAAGGGCTTTAGCGCGCTCGGCACAACCTATCTGGTGTCGAGACGTACACGGAATGCCTAGGGTCGGGGATGCTGTCAGTAACACCAAGGTGATATCGACATAGGTGATCCATACATACCAGATGTCCTCCCAGGCACATTCCCGTCGCTGCGCTACTGAGCCCAAATGCGTTATGACAAAGATGAGACCCATACCTGCTATCCGACCGGTGCAGTTTGGGAGAGAAGTAAGAAGGTTCACGGACAGAGTCGAATCCTCATCGTAGGCTGTAACTTCCTTCTCGATCTGGTGAGCTAGTGTTAGTAATGTGGCATCCAATTCATAGACTCAGAAGGCAGATACCTTGTACTTATTGCCACGGTCAGTACCTACGAATCGGACATGAGATCAAAGGCGTGGAAGACGAGACATAGACGCCGGTATGGAGTACCTTCTGTATCATACGGGATGGCCTCGGGGCCTTCAAACTCGTGAAAGCTAGAAGGGCATGCTGGACCGCGTATATGAGTTGATCACCCGAGGCCTGCGTAACCTTGGCGGCCTACCAACAACGTATCCGTGGCTGGCGATCTGGCCGGCAAAGCGCTCGACTGGGCCTGTCACCTGGTAGATCTCGCTAATCGTGGCACTTTTTAGACAGTTCTTGTCCCGACTAGTTCTCGTATCGAGCACACCTGAAAACGACGACACCTGTTGCCTACGATCGGACTCTGAGGTCGATGTTGGTAGGCGCAAAATACGCACCCGGGAACTTCGCATGCGGGTACTCTGGAACATTCGGGGCAATCACATAGATACGAATGGGTCGTCCGTTAGCGTCCAGCTTGGACGGTACATCGTGATAGGTCTTGGTGATCAGCATCGTTTCAACAGATCGCGGTCCTGTCCAAACAAGGTCCAACGCGCAAGAGTCTGGGAGGTCCTGGGAGAGGCCGGTAGGTCCGATCACAGATCAACGGATCAAACGGCGTCCGCACTTGAACCACCAGTGGCGAAGCGCACGTTCTCTCCCGTTCAGTATGTCTATCCGACTGTCTGGTCATTTTTCTCTTCCATCCCACCGTCACCTGTGCGTATCTCATGGCTGAGAATACTCCGGAGAGGCTTTACATTCGCCCGTATGAGCCCGAAGATGAGAAGCAGGTGCGCTTCATGGTCGGCCAGGCGCAGATGGAACACCTTGCATTCGCAAATAACCGTGGTATGCATACGGTGTTTTCGGTCGCATGCGATTTTCTCATCCCCTTGTCTTCAGCTACCATCCATCCCCTGACACTGGCGATCTGGATAGCGGCGTCCGTGGCCAGCGCTCAGCTTCTAGGATGGTGGCCTCAAAGCGCCGAGGCCGGTTGGGTCGATTACTTTCGCGTTGTACCGGCGTTTTTCGCTTGCGCAGTGCCAATCATGTTCGGTTTTGACTGGTATGTTTGCTCTGATATCGTGGATTCGCGGTGTTTATGTGCTGTCAAGGTTACATCGGCCCTCTGTCGAGTCTCGGGCCGAGCGAACCTTGCGGAACGTAGACATGGTCGACATCCCCGCGTACTATGCGCGCTCTCCGTCATCCGGTTTCTTCATTTTACAGTATGGGGATAAGCTGATCGGACTCGTCGGGATCGACGCTTCGACCAATGCTATTATCGACAAGCCTGTCGCCAAAGATGCCAAATTCACGGTGGAGGAGAGCACACAGCTGCTGCATGGAAAGGGGACCTCAAAAGTTGCAACCATCCGTCATTTCTTCACCGAAGAGGCATACCGTTCAACCGGGATCGAGGAAGACCTCCTGCGACATGCCACCGGCTGCGCGTTCAAGGACAAGACCGTTCAGACCCTGCGGATTTCGGTCTCACCGTTCAAACGCACGCTGCTGGAGGAGCTTGGAAAAGCGGGGTTTGTCTCCGGGGAGCCCGATGGGAAGCTCGGGCCGTTTGGATGGCAATGGCAGTGGTACACACTCAGTCGATCGCGGTGGGAGACGACGCCGAACACTTCTTGAGCTCAAAAGACACCATCTCCTGAGTATCTATGTAGTAAATATATGCCTGTATGTAAAGTGCTGTAATGCCAGTGGGTAAGGCCATGACGCCCATGACGCCCAACGCACGCGCCTCGATGCGTTGAAGAGAGCCATGTGATCGCGTTCAATGCGCAAAATGACTTTCCTTCCTACGCTCATCTCCAGTTCATCGCAGGCTGCGAACTCATTCGTGCTGCTAGAGTCGTCTACCTCGCAGTCATGTCTACCGGTCCTGCGCGGTTTAATATCTCACCCATATCCTAAGAACCATGTGTTGCTTTTCTGCTTGCTGTATCCTCCGACATCCCTAGTAGATGACTTGAATCATCTTCAGCGTGAAGAAGTTAGCATCCACGACCGCACTGCACACGTACCTGGCTATTGCGAAGAAGAAAATGATCTCGAATCTGCAATAACCAAAGCGATTGATGCAGGTCGGTCTCTTGATGACTTGCGGTCAACATTCGTCTCTCAATCATTGCACAGCGCCTCTAGGAGCTGTGACTGTCGTGATTGACTCCGCCGATGTTTTGTGCTCTGACGAACAATCGGCTCCGAAGGCGTATGCGATCCTCAAGTCCGTTGCCAATGCCCTCCGAGCTCGATCTTGTCAGTGTCATTCTGATATGCATTGACTACAGTCATTGACCTACGCGCAGCTCCCTCCAGGCTAGTCGTGCACCTCAACTCGCCCTCACCTTTGCTTCCACTATTGGTCACGACCAAGATGTCTCCTACGCTCACGCACATCATTGCACATCCACCCGCACTACTCGCTCATCTGGCTACAGCAAACTTGATCCCGCCGCCGCCAAGTACGCCCCCAGAACGATTTTGGCCGGCTTTCTCCCCACTGGCTTCACGGGCATGGGAGGTTGAAAAGCTCATATTCGGCTCTGAAGGGCCGGGTCTGGAGGAAGGATGGTCTGAGATTGTTCTGGAGGTCCTTATTCGCGGGGCTTCGGCAAATAGCGAAAAGCGCAGGGGAGTTGAGCGAGTGTTGGAGGGTTGGTCCTCCACAAAGGGATCTTGCGATCTCACCGATCTTGAGAGTCTGCGATCTATCTGGACTCGACATCCTGCAACTGAAGAAACAGTGTGTTTTATGACCTGGAACCTGCACCTATTTGATTAATTAAATCGTCTCTAGGCCACACCCGATCCAACGCAGAACTTGTCTTTCAACCTCAGTCTCACAGCTAACCAACAACAGGCTCGTGCTAGCGTACCCCTTCCATACGCACATTCTGGTACGCCTGCATGTCGGTGATGATCTTATGTACCGACTAACACTCCGCCAGGTGAAACACCTACCGTAACACCGACCTCAAATGGCGCGATATACTATGATCCAGACTCTGCAGATGATATTGATGACGATGATCCCGATGAGGATCTAGATATTTGATACAATTCGCGGTTGATACAAGTGGTATGGCTTACACAGCACCTAATATTAATTGCACGTTGTCCTCGATCTCCCAGTCATCGCGTCTCAGGAATGCCATGCGCTGATTTACCTGACTGGTGGACACAAGGACCAGCCAGACCGCATCCTCGTTGTTCCTGGCGATTGCGCTATACAGCTCCCTAGCCGATGTCTGAAGCTCCTCGTGCGCTTCCCGATGCAAAAACCTCCTGAAGGCTATGAGTACCTCCCATGTGAGATCGTCTTGCACTTGGACGTTTTTGGCGCTCGCCGTCATCGTCTTGATCATCGCGCAGTACAACCTGAAAGAGTGCGCATATACAGACTCAGGTCCTGCGCGCTCGACGCCCCGACGAGTTAGCGCGTTCTGCATGTCGGATGTTTCGAGCGTCTTGAGCATACGTCGAAAAATCGGCCAAATGTCGTCCCAAACACGTCGGTACATGAAGGTTCCAACACCAAGCGCGAGTGCCTCGACCAGAGCCGCAGCTCTAGAGATCACGAATGGTTCAGGATCAGAAAGTCGGTTGAGTATGAAGGGCCAAGCATTGTGGATCGAGGGCAGTATCGCTGACTCCGGAAGAACAGGCACGGCAGAGGCGAGCAGACTCAAGATACGCGCGCGGATGAGGGACGATTGATGCGTCAAGAAGTAGACTGAGCGCGACACTATCTGCTTGGTGAGTGCTTGCAAGGGCGTCGGCGGCTTCTCTACGTCGATAGCTCCATCATCCTCTGCCTTCTTCTCAGCCAGTGTTTCATCCTCCGAAGGCCCCCAAGCTTGCCGCGGCGCGGGGCCGTGATCTGTGTCGTCAACTTCCGGCGGGGCATTCCTCGTTTGATACCACTGCATGAAGGCATCAATGTGATCATGGTCGTCCGGGGGCAGTTGTCGCGGCGCGTTGATACGCGGATCGCGGACGACGTGTGCTTCTTCGCTCTGCTCGATGACTTTGACGACTTCTCCCAGCACTTCTACAAGTCCGTCTACGATGATAGAGTAGCCGTGGTACTCGTCCAGGCGCGAGAAACACTCCTCAACGAGGTCTCCTGCGCGGTGCACGATGTCCGGGCCTACAAGCCGTACCAAAAGGACAAGAACCTTCATCGCGTCAAGGTCCAGGTGCTCGCGACTCAGTCGTCGGGAGACCGCGTCTAGCGCATAATCGAAGTTCGATAAGAGCATGTTGGCCGGAGATGCATAGGATGCCACGGTCGAGATGTAATCGAGAGCGGCGAGGCCGGTCGTCGACAAGAAGGAGATGGGCGAGACGATCGAATGCAGGATAGGATATAGCGCGCGTAGAAGCATGGGTGTGAAGCGGGCCTGGAGAATCCCGGCGCAAACGCAGAGTGCCTGCAGCGCGACTGCACGATGTAGCATTGGTCTGCGCGTGGGCGGGCGCTTTTCGTTTGAAAGTGTGTGGCGACGGACTCCGAGATCCTTCTCTAAGGCCATGACACCCCGACTGTGCTCCACTATAAGATCCTCCTCAATCCTGTCGTGGGCTCCTTGCTCAGACATTGGAATGGGGTCTGACGGCGTGGCGTCCCATATCTCCGCCAAACTGATTACGAGTCCACGGGCCGCCTTCTCCAAGTGGCGCGAGTGGCGTACAGAGTGAGTCTCTGGTCGTGACAAATGTACACCGGCCATGCCTTCTAGAACTCGATTGGCGCACCAGAGAGCGGCAATTCCTCGTGGGTCCGGTTGATGTCCTAGACATACGAACCATTCGATGGTGAAGAGTGCATCTTCTCCACTTGCGCCTCCAAGAGCGACGAACATGCGCTCCAGGGCCGTCTGGGTTGTGCGCGTCGCGACGTGAAGCATCTCAAGTTCGGGAAAGTGTAGTAAAGCAGCAATGGGAGTATCCGACTCGAGGAGAAGCTGGGCCACAGTGGTTTTCGTGACCACGATTGCTGGTGGCGCAAATTCGAGGGCTGAGAGGAGACGCCATGCCCATCGCTCTACACCTCCTGTAGGCCCTAGGAGCTTTCCGATGCCAGTGGAGATAACTCCGAATACTGGATCAGGAGTAGATCCTGGCGCGAGGCGACCAATGGCCTCAATTTGACGCGCGACATGCTCAACCTTCGCGTCTGCATGAGAGAGCAATAGACGTGGGATGGCGGCGAGGTTGTCGCGGGTGATCTGGACGAGAGTCCGCAGCAGCGAATGTCGTGTTTTGCTTTCGGGGGATAGGAGGTCGCGCAATCGCCGCGTAGAGAGATCTGACACAGTGTCATAGGTAGATGTGGAGAGCGAAAGAAGGAACGAAGCCAGCAACGCCTGACTCGCGGGTAGGGTGAGGGTTGTTGATCTAATAATGTCGGATGAGAAGCAGGCTAGCGCATTGAGAGCTACCGAGTTTGGATGAGAAACAAGCGGAGTCAACGTGTTCAGAGCGATGTGCAACTGAGTGGAGGTTCCGCGTAACCACGCATGTGTTCGCGAAGTGCGTGGCACACCGGGTTCAGGTGTATAGACTTGCGCCGTATCCTCAGCGCCTTCCGTGTAAGCAGCCAGGTTGTCAAGACTCGTGGCATCTCTGACAGCTCCTGCTCGCAGGCAGATGTCGTCCCCAACCGCGCGAGTGACGATCACTTGAGCAACGCGCAGTCCTTCCGCGACGAGGTCGCCGTTCTCCCATCCTTTAGTGGATGAGGTACCCAAGACGAGACGCGTCATACTACTCATGACTCCGGGTAACACGACGGGGGCGAAGTCATCGGGAGCATAGATATCCAATAGGAACCCGAGTACTTGAAGACACGCGAGCTTCAAGGGGCGATGCGCCGAGGTTGTACAAGAAAGTAGCGAGTCCAGCGTCTGCCCGAGTATCGGCGTGAATCGGGAGTCGCTTGCGTGCGCAGTAAACCGGCCCAGTGTCTTCAAAGCATCAGGGCCTTCATCCACCGTGCGAGGACGTGTCAATGCCCTCAGGCAGCGCACTGCCGCAGTTCGAGTTTCGTCGTCTCTGGCTTTGGCCTTGCCATTTCCGTTAACGCCTATGGCAGTGCCGCACAGCATGAATAGTTGTTCCCACGTGGAAACGTCGAGGGTCCACCACCAGCTTTCGCATATAGACCTCAGACACAAGAACATGAGCTCGAGTACGCGATCCGGCATTGACGGCATAGGGTTTCGTCGAAGCAATGAAAGCAGAGGAAAGGCAGCGTAAGATGCCAGTGAGGGCGATAGTTTATATCCTCGACGCTCCAACGCATCTAGAGTACTCTCTAGTTCCGACAGCAAGGATATGACTGTAGATATGGTTGCATGATGTAGCTCTGCGTGCTTCAGAAGCGGGACGCAGAAGACTTTGAGCTGATGGAGTGTCAACTTTCTGGCTCAGTAAACCAAGCTGGCCGCATCGCTAACCTGCTGAAATACGTCACGATCTCCCGCTTCTGACATATTGTGCAGAGATATACAATTCGCCCAGAGGCGGTTCAAGGCGATGGTGGTCTGGAAGAGACATGAACGCGACCAAGGAGCTCATCGGCTTGACACGGTCACGTGAGATTATATTGGAATGTTAGGTAAATAAACATCGTCGCTGGGGTGACGAGAGGATGCCAGATCGGGACTAGGTGGTACAGTAAGTACAGAGCGGTGAGGCATACATCATGGGAAGGGGGGATGGTATAACGATACAGTCAGTATACGATGCTGTTGTAAGGTATTTAGCTGCGGACAAACTGTCGATGGTACGAGTCCGTGATAACCGGTGATAAGAACAAACAACGAAGAGCGTCCAATGCAGAAACAAGTGACTATATACGCAAAGCCTAGCGAATTGCAGATACTGCCGAAAGCCGCTTACGAACGTTGCGGGCTGCTTTCGACGGTTCAAGACCGAGCACGCCCGTGCTCCTCCTACGCACCCGCGCAGTCTCGTCGCGGGCCACCCCCAAGTGTTGAACAGCAGACCTTTGCTCAAAAGGCGCGTCAAGCTTAGACGAGTCTTCCTGCGGGTGCACTGGGTCGATAGTAGCGTCGTCCGTCAGGCCAGTATCGGTTCCGAATGGACGTAGCGCCGAGTGGCGCATACGCGTGGCTTCTTCGTCGTCTGGGACGCCCAGATGAGCACCATTCGGAGAAACCTGAGTCGCCCGTGAGTTTGAGCGTGCTCGTGAGAAGAAACTGGGTTGAAGGGAAAAGCGGCGCGAGCGACGGCGGTTGACGGGTTCAGATACGGGCGTGACTGTGGCGAAGCGTGTCCCCCGCGGAGCCGGGGCGCTCCCGGGACCATCGGTCAACGTGAATGCAGGTTGCTGCAGACTTTCAAGATCGTCACTGCGTCCACGGGAGGCAGGGCTAGCGGCGTTGCTAAGACCGTGAGGAAGTTGGAGGCTGACGAGGTATGACGGCGTGTTCGGAGAAACGAGCTCGGATGCCATGCTGTCCGCACGGGATCTAGTGGACACATTTGCGGTGTGATTACTGAAGATGTTGCGGACTTTGGTCTTGATTGTCTTGAATTTGCTTAGAAGCGAAACCTTGCGCAATGTTTCCGGGACGGTTTCCAAGCGAATATCATCGGTATCATGAGTGGGTCGTGAGCGTTGCGTTTCATGTGCAGGCGTGCGAGGGCTTCCATAAACATCGTGGCGGGACGCCTCATGAGAGTGCGTGCTCTCGAAGTCATCTGATACATGGGTATGGGTCTGCCCAGCGTAGTGCAGGCCAGGGAACCTGAGCTCCAGTTGCGTGACATCTGGAGACGCGAAAGTGATGATCTCCGTCGACGGTGAGAAGTGCGCGGAGTCTGGCGAAGACGGCTCAACAAGGTCGAGAACGAAGTCCGTGCCCGCGCCTGGCTGATACGAACGAGCACTGTTCAAGTCTATACCTAAAGCAGACCGATCCGCAGCGCGCCGTGGTACGATCATTGGTGCGTGAGTCGCGGGCACCTCAACGACCGAAGGCGATATGTCGAAGTCGCGGAGTTCTTCAACGGTCCCTCCATCGTCGAACATGGAACTGAAGCGAGAGACAGGCGGGTTTGTGGGTAGCGCGGATGCCTCCATTGTCGAGAGTGAGGTTGTTAGAGAGGGCAGCTCCTGCCCGGGTCTTGGTGACCCAAATGGGAAAGAGGGCGACGCCGACGGCTCGAGATCAGCATCGCGAACAGCCAACGAGTTTCGAGCTTTGACGGGATCTTTGCTCTCAAGAGCGCGGAGAGCGGCGTTCCTTTCTTCCTGGATATGAGTGTTGGTGGCGATCGTGGGCCGATGAATTTCGTCGTAGAGCGGTGTGAGTGGGGAAGGACTGTCCTCTTCAGAACTTTCGGCCAAGTTCGAAGATATGTCCTGTGGCAAAGGTCAGAGAAATGTATCGTAGCCTGAAATATAGCGACGTGCCGCCAGTTCCGAGTTCGTAGAGCGAGGGCTGGCTTCGTTCGAGAAAGAATCCTAGAGCAACATGTCAGGTTGACTTGGCGGGGAAGGGGGTTCCGTTAAGCCATACATCGGGTATGGACCGTAGTGATGCACGGTCGAATGACAGCCGTTCACGTGGAGATTCGGCGGCGGCGGCCCAAACGTTCAGAGATCCAGCGGGCTGGTGACGAGAGTTCTGTCGAGGTATGAGCGGAGCAAAAGGCAGTGGACGAGACACTAACAGATGAATGTCTGCGTGCGGGTACGGCCGTTCTGGGAGTCGTGGGAGATGACGCGGATGCCTTGGCACGATTCCGACTTGGGCCAGTGGGAGTGGTAGGATGAAGTGCAGGAGCGGGCTGGCAGGACTGTCAGCTGCGAGCGACATGCGCTGTCCGAGTACGCACGAGCTCGCTGGCGGTTTCGTCTGCGTCGTAATAGAG